GGGCATTGAATTCATTTTGTTCCGTCGTGCTAGGCACATACGCCTGACGGAACGTGGATGCGAATCGGCAGTGTGACAGAAGGAATTCAGTAGGCACCATTGGTCTTCGTTTCTGATACTTTCCAGATCGCGAAAATTGATAGCAACACTCCCTCAGTTTTTTTTTCGACTCTTGTTGAAAATCTTTCCTAGAGTATCATTGTTCAGTCTACTTTTTGCCTCTATGAGAATACTGGAGAGGTGTCATCCAGTAGAGGCGAAGCATCGCTTACAGAAGCGATGCTTCTTGCAAAGAAGGAATCCCGCATGAACTATTCAGCTTCCGCCTTTTAACCAACTTGGAGCTTCCTTTTTTGCGAAGAATGGGTTACTTTAGACGATTGATTAAGTTGTCGCTCCACATGCTCCCTCTTACTGGATGGATTCCATCCGGTAAGTGGGCGTGTAAGATGTCGGTCAGACTCGGCGATTGCATCGCGATGGACTAGTGCCGGAGCGACGCGATCGCTCCATCGCTTGTCCACCGCTCTGCCTAGAGTGGTTGCATCGCGCGATGCAGTCGCTCTTGCAATGTGCACAAGCGACAAGCGATTGGCCCCGCTCTAGGCAGGGCGACTGCATCGCGCGATGCAATCGCAGAGTCTGACCGACATCGTAATGGGATTTCGATGCTTTTCTGTTGAAGGTTAGCCTGAAAACGTGTCGGCGCTGTCAAATGGAACCTGTTCAAAAAATAGCATGTAGGGAAAGGCAAGCAGGCTGCTCGTCATTAAAACACTTCCAACAAAATTTGAATCAATAGGAGGGCAGGCTGGGTCTGGATCAGGAATGGCTTCTGTAACGATGAAGGAGTTCACTCCAAATGAGTTGTTTGAGTGTTTTTGGAATGGTAACACTAAATCACGCAGGAAAAAAATAAAATTTTTGCGCTTCCGGAGAGGCGAAGTCTAGAGGTTAAACTATGTCATGAATGCCGATTCATAGTAGGAGCAGAAAGCTGGAGAAACTGTGGAAAGTGCAAAAGTATTCCTAGTATCAACTTTGACGCATAGCAAGAATCGCTTTCCATCATACGTCATGTGAATATTGAGCATGAAAATTTGGCCACAACGTGCTTATTATGAAACTGGCGACGTAAAGAGTTACGTGTACAGCGTCACAGTGGTCGAAAACAGCAGTTCCGTTGACGGCCCTCGGCATAGAGCGGCTGTTTCAGCGGGTGAGTTTCAGACACTAAGCATCAGTATGATTCCTTCCTCCCAGGCAACGACAGGTCTGAGACGGGAGTCGTTCTATATTAGTGATTTCACAAGGCGACATTCGCTTCAAGGGGCATGTTAGGGTGGTCTCTTGTTCAGCTTTTTGTCTGTCAGCCTTTCAATTTGACTATTTTTTAATATTGAGATCGATAATTTTAGTTGGAATTCCCCGTACAACCGCAATTGTTTTGTTCGCAGTCATCTGATATAACGTGCTGTCGTTGTTGAGATGTTCGTTTCTGATTAGCCGTCATGGTCTTAGTTCGCTCGAGAGTTGTACTGGTTTATCCTGTTGCCGATCGATTAAGTTATTTGATTCTGTTTTTGTTTTTATCCAAAATGTTTCGTGTGCAAATATTTTATCGCGGCTGTTATTTCCTCGGAAATGTTTCGTGCGAATTCTTTGCGAAAAAATGCTGACATTTTTATTTAGACATTATCATGACATTTGTCTTCTAGTGGATTTTCTGAAATAGTGCTAGTAACGACGTGGAAAGTATGGTCGGATACAATCCTGAGCCGATCAATGGAAGAGAGCTGTCCTCGGCTGAGTACAGGTTGGAGCTGCTTCTTATAAGGTTTGAATATTAGTCTAGATTAACTGGCACGGTTTATCCTCCATCGCACCACGCTTTACCCTCCATCGCACCATGGTTTACCCTCCATCGCACCACTCTTCGAAAAATGGGCAAGGTTTTTTGAATTTTTTCTACGCTTGGAGCCTTTGCCACAGGCGCCCACGCCAGAGTGAGAGCTTTAGCAAATGTAGCGCGCGCTGAGTGCTTTCACGCCAAATGAATGTGATGTTTGTCTTCGCCTCAAATTGTCTTTGTGGGTTGCTTCCTAGCTCTACTGCTTGGGCCAAAATTCGAGAGAAATCCATCCCAATTTTCGAAAAGTGAGCAGTCGGCCGCGGTCATAGTTTGCGATCTTGCGACTAGCGATTCTACGATTTTATCGTTCATTACATAGGTATCGATCGCAGAGTGGTATGATCAGTAGCTTTTATTCCTCACTCGAACTATAAGAGGGTCACAAGGTATGACCGCGGCCTGGAGAGTAAATACTGCGGATTGGTTTTATTGAAAGCACTTGCACTTTCGACTCATATTCTTCTTCGATTTGTATTTGAAATTGTTACGAA